CCGCCGCCGCCGCCGCCGTCCCCTCCTCCGCCGCCGCCGTCGCCACCTCCTCCGCCGGCGCCTTCTCGCTGCACCCCGCTCGCCAATTGCACTGCCTGTGCACTCGCCAACACTCCCGACAGCATCATATGTGGCTGGTGCAACGATACTGCGTCGTGTGTCGACGTTGTTCCGCACAATGGCGGATACATTGGTCTCTGTCCCAATACCGACACACTTGCTCTTGCCCGCCAGTCGTGCCCTGACTTTACACCCGACGCCGGGACCGACAAGGGCCCCTTTGGCCTCCCGGCCGATGTCTATGGTGTGGACATCATATATCTTCTCATTCTAGCCGGCCTTTTGATCCTTCTCTGTGCCTGCTGCATCATTCGTGCATGCTGCTGCTCCAAGGTTGACCACCCGGAGGTCTCGTCGTACTCGCGCGCTGACAAGCGTCGCGCCTCGGATGCCGAGTCAGGCATGGTGCTCCATGACATAGGTGGCGACATCGACATGTAGAGCAGCAACGGTTCGTTTTTACCAGTCAAGCGCGTTGATGTTGAGCTCGTCGAGTGCCAGATTGAACGAGGGTGATCGCATCATGGTTGCACGCAGCTTGCCACACACCACCTTGCACGCCTCGTTGTCATCGTCTTGCAGCCCTTCGCGAATAATGGTGGTCCACAGCAGAATCCTCGGCCGCGACGATGCAATGAACTTGATTGCCATCTCCATGTTGTCGGTCACGGGGAGCCCCGCGTTGAGGACTCGGTCGAGCACGGTCCACGCCTGTGGGGTTACTCCGCGAGACTCTTCGATGAACATCAGCACCGCATTGACTGGCTGCTGCCGCGGGATGCCGTCCGGAAGAGAACGCATCGCTGGCGCGAGTGCATCGGCAGTGGCCCCGGCGTCGAGAAGAGTTGCCAGCGCGCGGACGTTGGTCCGGTCCAGCGCGAGGATGCAGAGTGCGTACTTGAGCCGCCGGATCGGCAGCGTCTTGCGAACCGACTTTTGCACGTGCCGCGGATACATCTCAATCAACTCGAGCGCAATGATCCACATCGGTAGCAGCATCGCCGGTGGCGCACTCGTGGTGTCGGCCTCGCGTAGCGCAATCTTCATCATGCCGGCGATGTCTCCTTTGGTAGCCAGAACCTCCAGGTGGAGGCTCACCCATGTGGCGTTGTGCGGATCGACCTCGTGGCACTTTTCGAGCATGGTGCACGCCCGATTGAGGTCATCGACATGGGCCTGGAAGTTCTCGTTGTCGATAACGTCGTCGCCGGTCGTTGCCGGTCCGCGCCGCATCTTGTGTTTGACCGCCGCAAGCGTCGCCATCGCATAAGCGCCGAGCATCATTGGCTGCTGCTGGTAAATGCGGATAGCAAGAAAGTCCTGCAGCACGTCGACCGCGTCCTGGGGGTCACCGTCAAGTGCGAGAATCGTCGCAACACATCGTCCGGTGATCCCGAGCGGCAGCCGCGGATACCACACCGTGTGAAGAATGACCGCCAGTGCCTTGAGGATTGCCACTATGATCGCACGCACGTGCGCCCGCGACGCATGGCCAGCAGGCAGCGCCATGGCTGCTGTTGTCAGTGTGTCGAGCGTCGTGCTCAGCATTGCGTAAGCGTCGCCCACCGCCATCAGCAGCGAGACTTGTGGGCCGGCAAAAAACCGGATGTACGCAATGTAGGAGATCACCTGCAGCAGAATTTGCAGCGCTGCCACAAGCTCGCCGCGACGAAGAACTTGCATGCCAACCTTGATGAGCGCCATCAGCGGCGCTGCATACCTGCTCGGCGTCCGCGGCATCTTGCGCGTCACCGAGGCCACCGTCCGCCGCGTAAATGGATCCCATCGCTTCCGCTTCTTGCTCACTCTTGCCCCTGTAATCATTGGGTACCGTAACCTTGCCGTCGGCAACGAAGCAGATCTGGACCCATTGCTCGACGTCGATGAGCTGGCGCTGCTCGAGCTGGTGCTGCTCGAACTGGCGCTGTTTGAACTGGCGCTGCTGGAGCTGCTGGAGCTGCTCGAGCTGCTTGCGCCTGCAACACCACTTGCGCTGCAGCTTCCGTCCCCATCATCGCCAGATCCACCTGAGCCCCCAGGCCCATCACTAGGCCCCTCTCCAGAGCTGCCACCGCTGCGGCTGCTACTGCCGCGGCTCCTGCTGCCACTCCCCGGTCCACTCCCCATACCGCTTCCTTCTCCACTCCCCCAGCCCCTCGCCAACGCGCTCCTCGCTGCCCACATCCTCCGTGTCTGTCTGCCCGCCTTGTCCGTCCACAAAGCCCTCGTCTGTCGCAGCTTCGCCTCCAGCGAAGGATGCCGAAGATGGCTCGCCCAGGGTCAAGCCCGAGCCGAGCCCAAGGTCTGACTCGTCGTTCATGGTCACAGGCACAACTCGTCTAGCTCCTATACTTTCGCTCGAGGACGACTCTGCACCGGACCCTTCCGATGAGAGGTTCATCGGCGACGGCGAGGACATACTGCCGGCTCGCCGAGCCAAGTGTGGCCGACGCCGAGCCTCTGTCAACACAGCTGATCGTCATCTTCATTCACACGCGCGACTCCGCCCACACACGCACACACTCCAACACATCGTGTTACATCTCCCAAGGACGTAAGTGGAGCGGAGTTCGCGGCAGGATCGTGCTCGGACCATGGTTCCGGAGGGCCGGATGGCTGGGTGTCGCTGGCGACGCCGGCGTCGCCAGCGCATCGCGTGCTGTAGGCGATGGCTTCGCCTCGACCTCCAGCTCCATCACATCCTCACCAACGTTCTTCTCGCCCTCGCAGCCCATTCGAGTAGGCGCCTCCAGCAGCGCGGTCAGGCGCGCAACTTCAGCCTCGGCGGCGTCGGCGCGGGCCGCGGCCTCCAAGTACCGGGTGCGCCACAGCTCGACCATGCTTGTCTCTCCGGCCATCCGGTCCTCAATAGATGACACTGTCTCCTCGAGCAGTGCCATGTCTGCGTTGTGGTTGCGATACGCGTCGAGCTCCGCCGTGAGCGCAGCAATCTGGGCCTTCAGCTCGACAGTGGTGTCGTGAGCGTCGGCGGGGACCTCTGTACCGTCAGCGGCGAGAGAGGTCTCGTCCGGCACCGCCCATGGCCCCGAAGCCTCCGACGAGTCTCCCGACCACAGGAGCGATGCCGATGGATCCCAAGACGACGACGCTGGCGAGCTCAGCTCACTTGCGCTTGGCGCCAAAGGCGACGGCATGTACCTCAGCGACCGCAGTGGCGACCTTGCCAGCGGTGACCGCATCAGCGGCAACGAGCCGAGCGAGCTATCTCGTGGCACCCGCACCGGCGACAAAGGGTGCCCTCCTCGCCGCACCGGACTGCTTGGCTCCATTCTTTCCCCCTCGCTCGCAGCTCTTGTGCCGACCACGTCAGCTGTTGCTGCTCCTCGCTGCTCCGCTCGCCCCGCCACTCCCGATTTCCCGCCAGCCATCACAGGTCGGGTACAGCTCACTCACCGAGAACTTTCGATGCAATAAACTCGCTGACATCGTCTGCCGTCATCCATCAACACATCCGGCTTGACCGACACCACGTCTGTCCAGGTCCACCTTGGCGCCATCGCCGTGAGCATCGCCAGCGACAGCGCGGCCGAGCGCGCTGTCGATTTGGACTCGGGTGGCAGACCAATCATACAAGGACAGCATTGCTGCCGTGGCTGTCGAAGATCTCGATCATGACTCCGCCTCAGACGCTAGTCAACTACAAGGAGGTACAGATGTCAGTCGTGGCCATCGTTTTCTCTGGCCCTGCCCGCGGTCGAAGACTCGCTGCGCCCTATCCTTTCGACAACCGGGACCGCATCCGCCCGTCGCCCGACCGCTCACCCGCCCGCCACCCGACCGCTTCACCGACGGCTAGACACCCGTCGCCCTTGACTACCAACATGTCTTGGATCATGGACAAGCTGTGGGCTGTGTGGGATGAGGAGTTTGGCTTCCGCGAGAAGAACGTCAAGCGCCGGCTGAACATCAAGGTACGGCTTGCCTCCTCCTTCCCCCCCCCCCCCCTCCCCCGCCCCCCCCCCCTACCCGTCGTTCCCTATCCTGTGCGGGTGATGGACGTGGGATGCGACGCAGCATGGCAGCCACCGGCTCGCTACCCAGCCTTCCCTTGCACCCACCACCGCCACCTTCTCCCCCCCCATCCATACTCACATACACAACATGTCATGCTCTTCACCCCTTGTCAACCGCTTGCTTTGTACCCAACCCTACCGCACATGCCAACCAATCCCTGTCGCCCCCCCCCTCCTCACCGCTCTGCAACTCACCCCTCGTCCTTCTCCTCCTACCTACCCATAGCTGATGCGCAACACCCTGCTGTTTGGTCTCTCCATCTATGCCATGCGTGAGAAGCCCGAGATCTTCCTTGGCGACCAGCCGCTCCCGCCTGGTCCGTCTGGCCAGTCTCCGCAGATGATGTAAACGAGCAACCGCCCCCCCCCC